GATATACGTATACAAGACAACAATGAACGAATGAGTTTGTGTTTGTGAGTGTATGAGTTCTTTGTTTTCTTCTATGTTGTACAACGAACACTGTTCAAAGACGAATTGCACGAATGGTAATATAAGGAAAATGTCCGTGTCTGGATACTCTCTCATATTCGGTATCAAAACCTGATGTTAGAAAGAGAACCTGAGTAAGCAGGGCACGAAAGAGAACAGAAAGAGAGAGAGAGAGACAATAAGAAACAACGAAGTAGAAAAATACGAGAGACTAGAAAGGTGAAATAGAATGGCTATTTATGCATGTATATATAATTGTAAATAAAGAAAAAGAAAACGGAAAAAACTTTATTTATTTGTTTGGTTCATTTGTTGCTTCTAATTGTTTTGCATCATATATCGGAGAATTGTAAATAAAAGCACGATAACCATAGATGTTGAGAAGTTCTGTACAAGTCTTTGTGCTGAACCACCAAGTGAATTTGATCGTGCTTGACTTGCGTCTTTAACAATATGGATCTTTTGCGCAGCTTTTTGTTCGTTATCGATGAAGAGTTTGGCAATAAAGCCACCATTTAATAATTGTTGATAGTAATTGTCGGCAACGACTTTAGCTTGTGGTGTTGCATCGGTTGGCGCACCCGGCGCTCGTGTAGTTGTCGTTAGCGGGATAGCAATTAATTTGTCACGTTCAAATGTTACAATACTTTTATATTTACCGTGGTGTTCATCGATTTCTTTGATAGTTATACCTGTATCTGTCGTAATCGATTTGTCATCAGTTTGCCGAGCCCATGTTAATGTCGGTTTGGGATTGCCAGCATATGAGCATTCAATAGTCGACTTCTCTTTCGACGAGTTAACAGTTTGTTTATCGCTACACGTTAGAAAACGTGGAGTGAATATAACATTGAGTACTTTTATTGCATGTTTTTCATGATTACCTAGTAAATAAATAAGAAAAGAAAATGTCATTCGATTGTTTTTATGATTGATGAGCTTTCTCATGAAAACAAACCTTGAGTTACAGTACAACGTAGTGTTGTATTGTGCCAGTCGGCGGATGGCGTAACTGAGTCTTCCCAAGAAAATGTTTGAGGATATGTGTTGGTCGTTGGAAGCGTAGCTTTGCCTTTACTAGTAATGTCATGATGATTACGAAGAATCTTATGACTGACATAAGGATAGAAATTATCAGCCGTACACTTAATCGTTATTGTGGCATGTTCTTGTATCGGCCAGCCAGGTCCAACTTGCCATTTGAGTTCCGATGTCTGAACAACTTGAAGATCTCTTGCCTGTTTGCCTAAGCTTTCTTCGCAATCGGGACAATTGCATTCGTATCGGGCAGTATCCTCGTTCATAATTTGTCGAATGCGTAGATGATTCTTTTTAACATACTCCAATCGAGGTTTTTTGATCTGTTTGAAATAATCTAAACTATCTTCAGTTGGTCGATTCAATAAGGAACGCGAGATGGGCGTATGTTTGCCAGTTTTCAAATCGACATGCCATAATTGAGGAGATTCAGTAAGATCAGTTGGATTAATTAATTCACAAAGAATTTCAACTTGATTATCAGGTTGATAATATTTTTCATCGGGAGTAAAGGTTAATTTCAGCGTGGGTTTCGATGATTCAATAGAAGGAATGAGAAGAGTTACAAAGATAATCGCGATAGAAAACATTCTATATGTTTGATCTAAGATAAATAATGTTCAGTTAGATTTTTTTTAATTGATCTTACCATTTACTTATGTAAAAAAAACAACAGGGAATTCTCTTTGATAGAAAAGGGCATATGCGCATGTATGTATTAGACATACATAGAGATATATACATATAGATATATGGCGGAGAGTGATGTGAAGCATTTACGGATTAATTTACGGTCGGGTAACTCATCTGTAGAAGAAAAAAATGAATCTATCTATAATTTTCGCCCCATCGACTGTATCTAATCTGCGAATCTGTGAAGAAGAAAAAAATCAATCCTAAAATCTTGGCATTTTCCCAAGAAAAATAGAATACGACATTGCATACCAATATTACAATTATGATTCTTCTTGTTGTGCTTATTTTAACTAATAGCTGGTGATCGTTTTCCTAACTCCACAAATCAGCATTGTTTTGTGCGCACTGCAGTTGTTGTTGTTGTTAGAAGCGACAAATAACTCAGATCGTACGAAGATTTTTCTTCTATATATTTTTTCTCTTTGTCTCTCTCTCTCTCTCTCTCTCTCTCTTGTTCTTCTTCCGACTTCCGCGTAAGTAGTTGAATAGCCAAATGATGGTGATGACGAGAGAGAGTGCGTGCGTGTGTTCGTATCTTTTTTCTCTTACTCTCTTTTTTTCGACTCTCTTCTCCTCCTTCCCTCCCTCTTTCGCTCTCTCTCTCTCTCCCTCGCTGTCTTTATGCAATGAGCGCACACGCACGTCCTCGGTCAAGTGCTCATAGAAAAAAAGGACTATCCTAACTAGAAGAAAAAGAATATGTAGAAAGAAAAAACGGGAATATTTCACCATCCGTCTATCCACCGGAAGCATGAAGAAAATGGACACCTGCTTACATTTGGAAATNTTCTTTTTATTCTAATGAATAATTTAATCCAACGATGCGCAAGCTTGCTTTCTATGTCCTCCGTACCCTCCACATTTACTATGTAAATAGCAAAAACAAAGCAGCGGAATACCCGCAAGGAACAAAGCCGAGATCTTTCTCTTCTTGCTTCTTTTCTAAACGTTAAGAGTGTGAGAACGACAACGACGGAACTCGATGCCGTAGCATTATGATTATTCTCTCGAATATGCTGTCAAAGAAGAAGAAAAAGTTCTCTTGTTCTTGTAATGAAAAGGAAAAGAAAAAGAAGACGAAGACGATATTAACGATGACGAAGTATCTAAAAGAAAAACTAAGTCAATGTTTGCCAACAATTAGCATGGAGACAACGCACAATCACATGGATGATAGATGCGATGTTCATAAACAAATAGACCAAGGAACGGAGAAAATTAATTCTAAAGTCAAAGTAAATGTCATCTTTCGGTTCAAGAAAGCGAGCTTATATGAACACTTCATTGAAATTAACCTATTGTCACAAATAATTATAGTGGAAAACGGAGCAACGTACATAAATCGTTATATAACGGGAAAGAAGAAGAAAAAAAAAGAATAAGTGTTCTTATTCATTTTCTAATAAAATTCGTCGTACTTTTCTTTTTTTTTCTCAGTTCCTAGGTCATACGGCTCCACCCTAAGCGTCAATGATGATGATTATTCTTTTTTTTTCTCTCTTGCTTTCAAATAATAGTGAGTAGACCCTTCTCTGCTGAACATCATTCATGACATGTCACCGGCTTCTTTCCTTATCGTTCTTTATCATGGTGGTGCATGGATGCATGTGCTCACGCTCGAGAGAAAACACCATCTCTTGAGAATAGGATGTGTGTATGCAACATGTTGATCCTGTACAAAATCAATCGGAGTAGCAAAAATAACACTGTTTATTGAAGTGATAACTATGTTGATGTGCAACATAATAAATTGAATCATAAAAGACAACTTTGAAATGAATATCAATTGAGATATATACATACATATGACAAACTGAAAGAGTAATCGAAGTTTATGATATTAGAAAAAAAACATTGTTGGCGATTAATATTCAATCAGTTCGTGTCATCATTGATTATGTTTCAGGCTAAAATCCTTTGAAAAACTAATCAGTATGGTTTACTCAATGGTCTCTTGGATACATCGCATTCTATATACTTGAAAACTCGATTTCAGGCGTGCCTATATGTATATAGTATATTAAATTTAATTGATGATGACGACGGCTACGGAACTTTTCGTTGTAGCACGTTCGGTGCATGACACGCACGCTAGATGTCAAAATTAGACGTTGAATAAAGAGTAAAGCTTCCGTGTTTCTTTTTTTTCTCCTTCTTGTTCTACTTTTCTTTGCCATCAAGCATAGGTTTTGTTGTATATGAGTAGTGAAAGCTCATCATCTCTTTGACAGGAAGAATTTGATTAGAGAATAAGAAGAAAAAGGAAGATTCAAGGCTAGTATATCTTCTTTCCCTTGGTAAGATAAACGATGAAAAAAGCTGCGCTATAGGCAATTTGTTAGCACAAGGCAATTGTATTTAGTAAGAAAGGGAGAATGACGGTAAACAAAAAATCCTTTTTACGCTTAACACATCCAAGGATGTTCATCAATCGTGCACATAGAAAAAAAATGGATAATTACATCCGGTTTTATTTCTCATCTACCGAGGAAAAAATGGAGTTAAAGAGAAATAAACGTAAGCCTGACTCCGACTCGACAAATCATTTTAACGAACGTTAACTATCAACGAGACGTTGACAGACACAACAAGAAAATCCCTGATATTCAAAGTTCTTTTTCCCTTTTCCTTCTTTTTTCGTTATTTTCTCAGTTGGCCTTGAGCCAAAGTACGACTCTATAGAATTCTTTTTTCTCTGTCTCGCTTTTTCATCTATCTTTCTCGTCGACTCGATCGATTCTCGAGTTCTCCCGAAATACACAATATGTATTTTGAATAATCAGTCAATATGAAATTACCATAAATAGAAAAAAAGAAGTCTATGACTAATTGATTTTGATTCAACAATCATAAAGAAATTCTTTCTACGATGAATAAATGTATATGAAAAGAAAGAAGAGAAAATAGATGATAAGATGCACGAGTTGTAGCATCTATAATAAATTATCACAAGAACAAGAAAATGGTGCGTGTCTATATATGATCAGACCATCTTGTGTGTGTGTCGAATAATCATTATTAAGAATGTATAACACAAAAGTTTTTCATAAAGGCCCAATAGAATCAGTGTAACATGTAAGCCATAGTTGAGCTGTTGGTTATTATTGTTATTATTTATGAATATACTGGAATTCTCATTCTTCATCTCTAATACCAGGGCAAAAACTGAAATGAAAATCAATATTGTTGATGCTAATCCACTGACAATATGAATACACGCAGTCAAAAGAAAGTAGCGATGATGTCGATAGATAATCGTAAAAAATGCAAAGAATCCAGCCAGAAATGTCAATGCACCAGTCCAGATTCCATGTGCTGTGGAAGAAAGAGCGAGATGAAAAACAATCATTAAAATACCAAGAATTAATATTAATAGGCCAAGTACGATCTCATTGACGGCAACGATTTTCGTCCAACATGTGTTCCAATTCTTTTTCAAATGTCCATCGATTAAAATCTTTCCTTTGTACGACGATCGATGAGGATAAGAAGAATCATTTCCATCTTCCGAAAACCATAGAGATGGTGCGATTGAATCAGTTAACATTTGTTTGAATTCGTACTCATTGAAGAAAAAAAGACGAAGATGTGAAAGGCAACAGACAAGACGAAGACGTATTGTATTTTCATTTTTTCAATTAAATCGTTCTTCATATTTCACCTTTCTTGACTAATAAAGAACATACATATGTTATCTTTTTAACACATAGTACGAGAAAAAAAATGGAACTCTTCTTCTTTTTTTTCATTTCGACATTTTCATGGCATCATTATAATCGATAGGAAAGAGCAAGATACCTAATAAAAACAATCAAAGAAGTTAGCTCAGTGAAGTATCATCGTTCCTCTTTTTTCCTTATTAATGGAAGCAATTGGCGCGAAATTGTCTGATGTAATGATCATTTTAGATAGAAAACAAATTCTTCTTGTTATTCCTTCGTCATCTCGATTTCTTCTATAATGACGATCATGATTAAATAAAACTCTTTCTTCTTCCTTCAATTCAATACTTCACTTCAATGACAACGATAGCAGTAAATCTTGGTCATTTACCAGTCGAGACTGGAACTTTGTCAACAAACGAGAATCGCACTCAAGAATTGTCTAATAATATCACTTCGTCGATAATTACAAATATTGAATTTCCAAGTCTACACCAACAACAACAATCTAATGATGATAAATTACTATTAAGAAATGCTTGGGGTACATATTTCTACAAGGCTGATAAACAACGTGATTGGAAACAAAATGTCATCTACATAACATCCATCAATTATGTGGAAGATTTCTGGTCATTTTACACACATACATATGGTCTCAGAGATCTGACTAATGGGTCCGATTATATGCTTTTCAAGGTAAAATTTCCAATCAATATAGGCAGATGAAATGAAAATTTTTCTTGACATATATCCACAGGCTGGCTGTCTTCCGATGTAAGTTATTTTTGTAAACATTGTTAAAATATTCTTATCCAAAAGAAAGCAAGGTGGGAAGATGTATCATCACGTGGCGGTGGTAAATGGGTGTTAACCATTGACCCAAAACGGCGTAAACGTGATCTCGATGGCTATTGGCTTCATCTGGTAAGTACGAATCATTGAAAACGACAAGATTCACTCAAACAGTTCATCATCAATCAGTCAACAGAGAATAGGAGTACAATCGGGGGTTCTATCTTAAGTGGTGTTTGGAGAATCATTGACAATCTCTGATGAGCGTTTCCATCTTCAGATTAGATATTCTCTTTAGATGTTGCTACTTATTGGAAATGCCTTCGGTAGTGATCTAAGTGCATTTATTAATGGTGCTGTTGTATCATTACGTGTCAAAGGTGATCGATTAGCCTTATGGCTAAAGAAGACTGAAGATTTTCATTTAATGAAACTTATTGGTATGAAATTCAAAGATCTGCTTAATATTCCATCAGATATACAAATCGTCTACGAAGTAAGAGCGATTCACACACGTCATTCTTTAATAAATCTTCGTTCTTTTTCTTTTCTGAAGTACCACGAGCCAAAGTTTGATGAATATAATAATGAAATTCGTCTTATCATTTAACGAGAGAAAGTAAAATGAACACTATTTCTTGTTTATTTTCTTTATTTATCATCGGAAATAACTGTTCTTCAATAAAAAAAAAACAACAGACATTCGTCCTTTTTCGAATATAACTCTTCTCAATTCGTTGTTTTGTACAAAAACAGAAGGTGTTGACACCAACAGAAAACAACTCATCAACACCAAATGTTTGAGAACAAAATAGAAGTTTCTCTCCCAGATCTATTCTTCATACATGGGGCGTTGAGGCCCATTCGTAGTTTCATTGTGCATATCAAACTGTATTCGGACATTGGATGGTAAGTTGATGATCGACCGCCATCGACGACCGATTTCTCGGACGATCGTTCCATTATGTGCTTCAGATAACCAAAGTGCTATCTTATGGCCACGTGTACGAATAGCAACAACACATCCAGTGATATATTTACTTAATGGTTCAGAATCACTGGAAAATATCATGAAAGAATAGAATATTTCTCGAAAGAAAACCTACCTATCATGAGAAAAACAATCACCAATCATTCCAAGTAAAGTTTCAAGCCATAATTCGTCGAGTTTAGTATCTTGACCTCCGCAAGTTAATAACCAACGGCCACCTTTTGCATTGGCTTTATCCTCTGTTGAAAAACGAAAAACATGAAAGAAAAGACAGTGTCTTCGAAGTATTTACCCCACATTGGACGAACTAGAAAAGGAGAAAGATAATCATCAATAAGGCCGATTTTGTTCGAGAGAATATCGATTCTTACTTCCTTTCTTAAAAAAATAATAATCCGAATTAGATTTACTCTGTGAAAGTCGTGATGGTGTTGCTAAATGATTGTACGTTGCCCAGAAATCTTCCACAAAACTGATATCGATCAAATTAATCAAAGACTGTTCCCAGCTCGATCTTTTATCTGGTTTGATATACCAGAATGTCCACGTAAATTCTAATGGACTTTTTGGGTTAATCGTATCAATTGTTCCATTAGTTGTTTTGTCACGTTGATTAGTGATTGTTGCCAACGGTTGCTGAGTGTCTGTCATAGTTCTGTGTGAATGTTTCTATTAAAAGAAGAAATTCTAATGAAGAACAAGAAAAACGAGTTTCACAAGCACATGAAGAAATGCCTGTCGATCGGAAGGATATAGTCAGTCAGTCAGGCAGGCAATGAATATTCATTTTGTCATCGAATGATTCATCAATGTTAATTCCACTAATAAAATAGAAACTAATACAAAAGTCGTTTTTATATTCATATTTCATACATTTAACTCTGGTTTGTTTGTGTAACATAATGGATAAATTTTAATTGACCAATGAGATCGTTGCTAAGCAACCTCGTTGATTTAAACATGGCGGATAAACTATTGAATGAAAAACTTCATTTGCAACAGAAAACAATGGCTCATCTTCTTGGAAGTAAAGCGTGTATTGATAGTTTACGCGTTGATATCGACGATTTACAAAGTGTAGCTTATGAAATTGTTGGGAAAACGGGATCGATCAAGTGAGATAATACATTTCTTGTACAAATATAATGAATTTGAATAATGTTTGAATAGATGTCATTCATGGAAGTTTCCAGATAAGATTGCCACCGATATTGATATCAAAGAACTTCTCCAACGGTATCAGCACGGTAAAAACGAAGTCGATAATCAAGTTTCACATATTGTTCTCTTTGAACTTATCATTGATCGGTTCGTTTGAAGATTTTATTGTCCTATGTTTAACCATTCTATGTTTATTCTTTAGACTTCTCCTTGTTTTACATGGTTCGTGGCGTTATTTACATGAAATGCAATCAACTCTCTTACCAAATACTATCGATTCTTCATCTACAGCCAATCAACAGTCCAGTCTCAGTGTTGGCTTGGTTGTGAAGAAATATTGGAATAAACTTCTACATTTATCAACTGTGCTTCAGCAACACGAGGTTTGCATCCGGTATTCTAGATCGATTCGAATAATACTCAATCATTTTCGATTTTAGAACGAACGCAAACGAGTATTAATTAACGGTGCTAAAACAGCACCACTAGCTCGTTCTAAGATCAATGTAAATACTGAAAAACGTTCTCAAACTGTCGAAACAGCACTTGGGCCATGTCAATCATGTTTAAAACTTCAACAATCTCTTCGTGATCATGGTGATAGTGTAATTAACTTGTGTCATACATACAATTTGCCATCCTCACTTGCTCAACATCGATGTTCAACAAGTACAGAGATCTTCTCATCGGATGAAGTTAATCACTGGTCAGATTCTCAAGCAAAAGATATGGATCGTTTATTAAAACATCTTCAATATCTGAACAACACACTGAATAAAACTAAAAGTGATTTACAATTGAACGAAAATCGCTGTAAGAAACAAGACGAAACGAATCATCGTTTGCAGCAACAAATCAATGATGATAAACAATCGAAAAAAATTCTACAAGAATTACACGATAAAAAGTTCAATGAATTAAAGAGAGAATCGGAACAGCAAGAAAAAAGTCTCAATGAGCAAATTCACTTATTAACAAATCAAAAGCTTCAATTGGAACAACAGTTAAAAGAAGTCAACGATTTATGTTCATTAAAAAGCGAACAAATGGAAAAATTAGGTAATAGTCAATAAAGAATCCTTGATCTGCCTCTCATAAACGTCGAAATACGGAGTTTTTTCAAGAAGGAAAGATGTCCTTGGAAAAATAATAATGTTTTTATCGAAAAGAACTCAATTGATCATGAATAAATTACTCTTTCCGATAATTAAACTTGGCATTCGTGATCGGAAATTGTCAAGTACTATTAACACGGAGATTTTCGTAATAAAGAAAAATCCAATAATCACATTAAATGATCTAGTTAATGTGTTTCTAATTGAAATGACAATAAGAAGTGACTTCTTATCCATTTTATGTTTAGAAATATCGAGAAATGAATTGAAAACATTGATTCAAGATCGATTCAAATCGGATGATGTTATTAAAACATTAGAACAAGATCGTGTACGTTTACAAACGGAACTGGATTTAGTCAAACGAGATTTAGAAGAACGAAATCGAGAATTGCAGAAAGAAAGGACTCGAATTGAAAATATGATTCGACAAGAACAAGTAACTAAACATTTTTCTTCTCTTCATCGCTGGTAATTTCTATCTATTCAGAATTATCAATCAAAACAAAAGACATTGACAACATCCTACGATGAACTCACTCAGGAATGTGAATTATTGAAGTAGGTTGAATAGTTTTCGAGAAAGAACACTTTATTTATCGGTCTACGATGTTAGAAAACAAGTAAACGAGCTTGATGTTTCTCGAACTGAACTAGAGAAGAAACTTGATGCTGTTCAAAAACAAAATCGACCGTCTGTCGATACGCATCAAGTTCAATCGTTAATGGAAACAAATAATCATCTACTGGAAGAAATTAGTATGTTAAAGTCAAGTTTGGAACAATTAGATCAACAACTTCAACAAATGGAAGAACGTGAACAAATGTTATTACAGTATCCTGATTTTAATGGTCCTATTGAGCATGAACCACGTAAAATTCTTAACGATTTACCTGTCTTTCACATACGATTTCTGGTATTTCTCTCGTAGCTTCACATAATATTGTTGTTGATATGCAAAATCAAATGCGTACAAATGAAATTCGTATTGATCTATTACGAAAGCAGAATGAATCATTGAAAAATTCTATAGAAAAGCTCATGTCGATGAATAATACGTTACCAACAATGGTCACGGAAGAACGTTATGAAGAGTTAAGGACTCAATCGAGACAAGAACAAGTACCGAGGAAATCTTCATTTGTGAATGAATCTATTGTATCGGTAGGAAGTTGTAGTCGACTCTTCGTGCATTGATCGATTGTTCCTCCTTTTAGAAAGCAAAACCAACGCCCTTGTGGTTGCTAAATAATGAAATTCTCGAGCAACAAAAACAACAGCAGCAAGCTTTCACAGAAACAAGGTCGAGGATTATTCCAATGAAGAAAGAAAACTTACAAATATGTTCTCTATTTAGACCTGCGCCAACCTCACATTACATTCCACGTTTTAGCGAAAATGACTATGTTGCTAATGGATGGATAAAATCCGAACAAGATGTTTTTCCCCTTCCACAAACGAATATTGATCGTGAAAATTCACCGAAACAACATGATCGATCATGGACAACTAATTCTACCCGTATTCAATCAACGTAATAATTCAAACTCTCTTCAACATCGAATTTCTAACATTTACTTTTTCAGAGAGCTAATGATCACATCCGAATCGCGACCACCAACTGTCGCACATTCTTCGCGAAGTTCGAACAATGGTCGTACATCAACTATTCCTCCACCTTCTGATTACGAAATGATCATCGGTACATTGTCATTTGTCTATTGTTTACAAAAAAGAAAAAGAACGAACATTGTGTGCTTTTCTTTATCTGTAGGTAAAGGTCGCGCGACAAATCGACCATCATCAGCATCGAAGAATCGATTTGCACCAACTGATAGTGCTCGCCGTGATACTTCATTACCGAAAAGTTCACGAACAGCAGGATCTGCCAAACCACAAAGATCTGCAACAAGTACAGCTATCCACCAATGTGCAACTTGTAATAAAACATATGATGACAAACGAAATTATGACATACACAGATTATACTGTAGGACTTAAGTGTCTGTTAAAAATGATTGTTTTTTGTCTGTTTTAACAATAAAACTTTGTAAAGGTTTATTAGAGATTGATTTACGTATCAGTTGCTCAACGATGCTTTGCGAATGTCGACTTTTGAGTGAAAGCTCGTCGGAAAGATTAAAGAAAAAGAAAACTATCTGAAAATTGAACTAGATGATTGACAACGAACTTCTGGATAAATACAAGCTAGAAAACTTTTCACTAGCGTCATCTGCAAAAAAGATTCTCCTTATTAATTTATTTTGGATTAGAAAAGCTATTACTTCTACACATGTTGTAATTTCGCTGTCTGATGCAAGTTTGACAAAACACTCCAGATAACGACCAATGACTAGTGAGAAATATGCGGTGATGATTGAGTGCGCATATATATGTAAGCGTACGGAATCTAAAGTGCATCAGAACTAATTCGACTATTTTTCAGTTTACACTCCATAAAACAAATGTCTCAAACAAGTCATGCACATGGTTCACATGGTAATATTTCTGGTAAAGGTGGCCGTGCTCGAGATGATCCCATCGGAACTGGTTAGTATCACAAAAATCCTCATGATCTTACTATTTCATAACCAAATATTCGCTTTATTCTTCCTTGAGGTGGTAGCACAGCTGACGGCCAATTGACTCATCAAGATCCTTTACAAGGTCTTGCTAATACGTAAACAGGTGTCACCACAAAGAGTACCGTTGGCTACTCAAGTAATCAAACACCAGGCGCAATTACCAATCGTGGACAAACCGCACCGGATAATCAAGCCGATTCCGATTCGAATAGCAATTCTAAACAATAAGGTTACTAAGTGCATTTCTGTTCTTTCATATTTTTTGGGTATTGAAATAAAGCTATTCTAGCTGTGATCGTTACGTCTAGATCATTTCGAAGAGCTTTTTCTTTCTATAATATTGTTCATCTTAGAGATAATTAGTGAAGCTTTCAGATACGTATCAAAAGTGAAATCTTTTGGGAATTTGCTTTTATTATGAGAGATTTAATATGAGATCGAAATGATATATGAATTTTTTTCAAAGATAGGTTAAATAAGGAAATGGACAGTAAAAAAACAGATAGAATATGTTTTTAAACATTTAAATTACAAAATTCTGAAAAGGAAAATTTTAATTTTCCTCATCATCGTCGTCATCGTCCAATGTATGTAAATTTGAATTGTCACTGTCAATATTCGATTCCTCGTGCTCTTCATAAGGTCGTTTATGTGCAACGAATGATGATGATGACAAAGTGTTCGTTGGCGTTATTGATGAAGATGATGATGAAGCTGCTGCTGCTGTTGTTGTTGTTGAATGAAGACGTATATGCTTGTTCAGATTGGATGGATCACTAAACGGTCGAAAACAAACTCGACATTGTAATGGTTTATATCCTGTATGAGTACGTAGGTGAATTTTCAAACCATATTTACGATTATAAACCTGAAATTTCACGAATAACTAAACATCCTTTGTTGGAGTATGAAGTATTTACCTTGCCACAGAAAAGACATAGATGTGCTTTACGTTGTCTTCCATCGTTGTCTAAGGAAGTAAACTCTAATGCATGTGTGCCATCGAGAACACTCATTTTATAAGATGAAACATCGTTTGTTGAGAATCCGATCGATGGTAATGATTGCTGTGTTGGCTGCTGCTGTTGTTGTTGTTGATGGTGATCTTTTTCTTTCACATCCTCGTTTTTTGGATTTGTTGAATTCGAACGAGGAGAAGGCGAAGAAGATCGTTTGATCGATGAAAAGTCCATCAGTCGTTTCTTTGATGGAGATGTATGAACGAAGATTCGTTCATTTAAACTTAAATTTAGCGATGGTATTGGATCATGGCATTGATCGAGAAGAACGTGCGCAACAAGAACATTGAGATAATTTTGTTCGACTTTACATCGAGGACATCGTGTTGCTGAAATGAAATAATGATCAATCTGAGGAAATTAACTGAATTTGAAATCAAATCTTACATTTGAGTAGTTCTTCAACTTTGAAAACTTTGGTTAATTTGATTTTCTCGCATATTGTGCGAAGTTGCGGAAGACTGAACCAAGCTAGAAGAGGTTCATCTGGAACAACTAAACGTGTAGTACGAAAACCGAAGAGGTTTGTTTCAGTTGATTGAAATAATTCCACATTTTGCTCGTCTGGTGTACGAGCACTCTTAATAGCTAAAATCCACTCTTGGAACAATCCCGGTCCAATCAAATGTTGACTCCAACCATGAATCTATCAGAATGACTTTAATTTGATATCGTGCGTAACAAACTCTTACCGGTATTTTATTGTAATGCAGATTATGGTCATAGAAATCCGTTAGAAGAAAATTATAAGGTAATTGATGAAGAAGATACACTACTGAACCTTCTTTTAATGTCGTACCAGCGACTGCCAAAGGCTTAATTGCTGTATTTAATGGAAAATTGCCAGTAACATTAGCATATTTTGCGATTGGTTTTATTATTTTAACATCCGACATTTTCTTGTTAACTCCACAGGGAGAATATTGATCGAATGAAATGATATATATGGTATGACCAATTGTATATAGGTATGTGACAAGTATTGACAGGTGAAAGAACAGATTTTTTTTCTTTTCTTTTCTTTTTTGTATTTGTCGTCTCTATCGCCGTTACTCTCTTCAGTTTATGTACCAATCAGAGACGAGAGAAATCAAATAGAAGAAGGAGTGAAGTTATCATTGGGGAAAAGGTATTTTCATGGTGTCAATCATCAAGTATGCATATAAAGATACTATTGATTCAGTCCAAGATTNGTTCGACACAACTGTATAGATCTGAAAGAGAAAAAAAGGAAAGAGATGAATACAAATGAGCATGTGGGTGAATAGCATATGTGCTTGTATATATAAGCAAGACAGATGGGTTCAAAAATTAGTCAATTGCAAATCCCTTTGGTCATCATTGAAATAACTTTCTTCTTTTTTTCAGTCTATTGAAGAGAGAAGATAGCGAATGAAGACACCTGCTTGCTAATCAGCAGTTTTCTTCGTCTTCTTTTTTTATATTGATTTTTTCCTCTTTTTCTGGTTTCTATCCTTATCGAACGACTGTTTTTGTTGTCATCATTGTCGATGGCCAGATATTATTACTGTGTTAATAATTTCCTTCGTCGCCCATTCATTCTCGTTATTTTATTTAATCAAATATATACAAAATGACGATCGATCGCACCGGATGCAGGCGCCAGATTGGCATCCATACTGGACAAAATCCTTAACAAAATATTGACAGGCAAGACGATGACAAAAAAAAAAGCGTCAATCGAATTCATAATTATTTTCTAGTATACAGTCATGGCCATCTTGCGTGATATACAAGAATAGTAACATCGACAGAATACATGAAAAACGATTAATCGAAGATATACACATACGTACACATATAGCAGGCGTAATCTAACAACTTGTCAGAACTTTTCTTCTAGGCATAATATTCGTTAATCGTCAGATGGTGTCGTTTGTTGTTCAATATTTTGATGAGCTGTTTTTCTATGCACATTCTTTTGTGTCTACTCGTCTTCTCCTCTTTCTCCTTTCTGTTTTTTTCTTGTGTGCTCCTAATTATTACATGATACAAATGATAATAGATGCCAAATGTAATGCTCAAATTTGAAAGGGGCAGTATCAGACAAATTACGATTGAATTTCTCTTTTTCTTTTCTACTAGTTATAGACAAAATGCATTAATTCTCACGCATAGATGTAATGTATGACGCAATAGTAGTAGAGTTCATCTATGTAGAAACGATAGTAAAGGCGCAACTCTCGCTTCTTCGTTTTTTTTCTTTTCTTTTTATTCTAATGAATAATTTAATCCAACGATGCGCAAGCTTGCTTTCTATGTCCTCCGTACCCTCCACATTTACTATGTAAATAGCAAAAACAAAGCAGCGGAATACCCGCAAGGAACAAAGCCGAGATCTTTCTCTTCTTGCTTCTTTTCTAAACGTTAAGAGTGTGAGAACGACAACGACGGAACTCGATGCCGTAGCATTATGATTATTCTCTTGAATATGCTGTCAAAGAAGAAAAAAAAGTTCTCTTGTTCTTGTAATGAAAAGGAAAAGAAGACGGAGACGAAGACGATATTAACGATGACGAAGTATCTAAAAGAAAAACTAAGTCAATGTTTGCCAACAATTAGCATGGAGACAACACACAATCACATGGATGATAGATGCGATGTTCATAAACAAATAGACGAAGGAACGGAGAAAATTAATTCTAAAGTCAAAGTAAATGTCATCTTTCGGTTCAAGAAAGCGAGCGTATATGAACATTTCATTGAAATTAACCTATTGTCACAAATAATTATAGTGGAAAATGGAGTAACGTACATAAATCGTTATATAACGGGAAAGAAGAAAAAAGAAAGAATAAGTGTTCTTATTCATTTTCTAATAAAATTCGTCGCACTTTTCTTTTTTTTTCTCAGTTCCTAGGTCATACGGCTCCACCCTAAGCGTCAATGATGATGATTATTCTTTTTTTTTTCTCTCTTGCTTTTAAATAATAGCGAGTAGACCCTTTTCTGCTGAACATCATTCATGACATGTCACCGGCTTCTTTCCCTATCGTTCTTTATCATGGTGGTGCACGGATGCATGTGCTCACGCTCGAGAGAAAACACCATCCCTTGAGAATAGGATGTGTGTATGCAACATGTTGATCCTGTACAAAATCAATCGGAGTAGCAAAAATAACACTGTTTATTGAAGTGATAACTATGTTGATGTGCAACATAATAAATTGAATCATAAAAGACAACTTTGAAATGAATATCAATTGAGATATATACATACATATGACAAACTGAAAGAGTAATCGAAGTTTATGATATTAGAAAAACATCGTTGGCGATTAATATTCAATCAATTCGTGTCATCATTGATTATGTTTCAGACTGAAATACTTTGAAAAACTAATCAGCATGGTTTACTTAATGGTCTCTTGGATACATCGCATTCTACATACTTAAAAACTCGATTTCAGGCGTGCCTATATGTGTATAGTATATTAAGTTTAATTGATGATGACGACGGCTACGGAACTTTTCGTTGTAGCACGTTCGGTGCATGGCACGCACGCTAGATGTCAAAATTAGACGTTGAATAAAGAGTAAAGCTTCCGTGTTTCTTTTTTTTCTCCCTCTTATTCTTCTTTTCTTTGCCATCAAGCATACGTTTTTGTTGTATATGAGTAGTGAAAGCTCATCATCTCTTTGACAGGAAGAATTTGATTAGAGAATAAGAAAAAAAAAGGAAGATTCAAGGCTAGTATATCTTCTTTTCCTTGGCGAGATAAACGATGATGAAAAAAGCTGCGCTATAGGCAATTTGTTAGCACAAGGCAATTGTATTTAGTAAGAAAGGGAGAATGACGGTAAACAAAAAATCCTTTTTACGCTTAACACATCCAAGGATGTTCATCAATCGTGCACATAGAAAAAAAATGGATAATTACATCCGGTTTTATTTCTCATCTACCGAGGAAAAAATGGAGTTAAAGAGAAATAAACGCAAACCTGGCTCCGACTCGACAAATCATTTTAACGAACGTTAACTATCAACGAGACGCTGACAGACGCAACAAGAAAATCCCTGATATTCAAAGTTCTTTTTCTCTTTTCCTTATTTTTTTCGTTATTTTCTCAGTTGGCCTTGAGCCAAAGTACGACTCTATAGAATTCTTTTTCTCTTTCTCGCTTCTTCATCTATCTTTCTCGTCGACTCGATCGATTCTCGAGTTCTCCCGAAATACACAATATGTATTTTGAATAATCAGTCAATATAAAATTACCATAAATAGAAAAAAAAAGAAGTCTATGACTAATTGATTTTGATTCAACAATCATAAAGAAATTCTTTCTACGATGAATAAATGTATATGAAAAGAAAGAAGAGAAAATACATGATAAGATGCACGAGTTGTAGCATCTATAATAAATTATCACAAGAACAAGAAAATGGTGCGTGTCTATATATGATTAGACCATCTTGTGTGTGTGTCGAATAATCATTATTAAGAATGTATAACACAAAAGTTTTTCATAAAGGCCCAATAGAATCAGTGTAACATGTAAACCATAGTTGAGCTCTCGGTTATTATTGTTATTATTTATGAATATACTGGAATTCTCATTCTTCATTTCTAATACGAGAGCAAAAACTGAAATGAAAATCAATATTGTTGATGCTAATCCACTGACAATATGAATACACGCAGTCACAAGAAAGTAACGATGATGCCGATAGATAATCGTAAAAAATGCAAAGAATCCAGCCAAAAATGTCAATGCACCAGTCCAGATTCCATGTGCTGTGAAAGAAAAAGCGAGATGAAAAACAATCATTAAAATACCAAGGATTAATATTAATAGACCAAGTATGATCTCATTGACAGCAACGATTTTCGTCCAGCATGTATTCCAATTCTTTTTCAAATGTCCATTGATTAAAATCTTTCCTTTGTACAACGATCGATGAGGATAAGAAGAATCATTTCCGTCGTCTGAAAACCATAGAGATGGTGCGATAGAATCTGTTAACATTTGTTTGAATTCGTATTCATTGAAGAAAAAAGATGGGGATGTGAAAGACAACAGAGAAGACGAAGAAGTATTGTATTTTCATTTTTTCAATTAAATCGTTCTTCATATTTCACCTTTCCTGACTAATAAAGAACATACATATGTTATCTTTTTAACACACAGTACGAGAAAAAAAGGAATTCTTCTTCTTCTTCGTTTTTTTTTTCATTTCGACATTTTCATGGCATCATTGTAATCGATAGGAAAGAGCAAGATGTCTAATAAAAACAATCAAAGAAGTTAGTTCAGTGAAGTATCATCGTTTCTCGTTTTTCCTTATTAATAGAAGCAATTGGCGCGAAATTGTCTGATGTAATGATCATTTTAGATAGAAAACAAATTCTTCTTGTTATTGCTTCGTCATCTCGATTTCTTCTATAATGACGATCATTATTAAATAAAACTCTTTCTTCTTCCTTCAATTCAATACTTCACTTCAATGACAACGATAGCAACCAATCTTGATCATTTACCAGTCGAGACTGGAACTTTGTCAACAAACGAGAATCGTACTCAAGAATTGTCTAATAATATCACTTCGTCGATAATTACAAATATTGAATTTCCAAGTCTACACCAACAACAACAATCTAATGATGATAAATCACTATTAAGAAATGCTTGGGGTACATATTTCTACAAGGCTGATAAACAACGTGATTGGAAACAAAATGTCATCTACATAACATCCATCAATTATGTGGAAGATTTCTGGTCATTTTACACACATACATATGGTCTCAGAGATCTGACTAATGGATCTGATTATATGCTTTTCAAGGTAAAGTTTCCAATCAATAAAGGCAGATGAAATGAAAATTTTTCTTGACATATGTCTGCAGGCCGGCTGTCTTCCAATGTAAGTTATTTTTGTAAATATTGTTAAAATATTTTTATCCAAAAGAAAGCAAGGTGGGAAGATGTGTCATCACGCGGTGGTGGTAAGTGGGTGTTAACCATTGACCCAAAACGGCGTAAACGTGATCTCGATGGCTATTGGCTTCATCTGGTAAGTACAGAATCATTGAAAATGACAAGATTCACTCAAACAGTTCATCATCAGTCAGTCAACAGAGAATAGGAGCACAATCGAGGGTTCTATCTTAAGTGGTGTTTGGAGAATCATCGATAATCTCTGATGAGCGTTTTCATCTTGAGATTATATATTCTCTTTAGATGTTGCTACTTATTGGAAATGCTTTCGGTAGTGATCTAAGTGCATTTATTAATGGTGTTGTTGTATCATTACGTGTCAAAGGTGATCGATTAGCCTTATGGCTAAAGAAGACTGAAGATTTTCATTTAATTGAAATTATTGGTATGAAATTCAAAGATCTGCTTAATATTCCATCGGATATACAAATTGTCTACGAAGTAAGAGTGATTCGCACACATCATTCTTCAATAAATTTTCATTCTTTTGCTTTTCTGAAGTACCATGAGGCAAAATTCGATGAATATAATAATGAAATTCGTCTTATCATTTAACGAGAGAAAGAAAAATGAACACTATTTCTTGTTTATTTTCTTTATTTATCATCTGAAATAACTGTTCGTCAATAAAAAAAAAACAACAGACATTCGTCTTTTTTCGAATATAACTCTTCTCAATTTGTTGTTTTGTACAAAAACAGAAGGTGTTGACACCAACAAAAAACAATTCATCAACACCAAATGTTTGAGAACAAAATAGAAGTTTCTTTCCCGGATCTATTCTTCATACATGGGGCGTTGAGAGCCATTCGTAGTTTCATTGTGCATATCAAACTGTATTCGAACATTGGATGGTAAGTTAATGATCGATCGCCATCGACGACCGATTTCTCGGACGATCGTTCCATTATGTGCTTCAGATAACCAAAGTGCTATCTTATGGCCACGTGTACGAATAGCAACAACACATCCAGTGATATATTTACTTAATGGTTCAGGATCACTGGAAAACACCATGAAAGAATAGAATATTTCTCGAATGAAAACCTACCTATCATGAGAAAAACAATCACCAATCATTCCAAGTAACGTTTCAAGCCATAATTCATCGAGTTTAGTATCTTGACCTCCGCACGTTAATAACCAACGGCCACCTTTTGCATTGGCTTTATCCTCTGTTGAAAAGCAGAAAACATGAAAGAAGATGAACTGTCTTCGAAGTATTTACCCCACATTGGACGAACTAGAACAGGAGAAAGATAATTATCAATAAGGTCGATTTCGTTCGAGAAAATATCGATTCTTACTTCCTTTCTTAAAAAAATAATAATCCGAATTAGATTTACTCTGTGAAAGTCGTGATGGTGTTGCTAAATGATTGTACGTTGCCCAGAAATCTTCCACAAAACTGATATCGATCAAATTAATCAACGATTGTTCCCAGCTAGATCTTTTATCTGGTTTGATATACCAAAATGTCCATGTAAATTCTAACGGACTTTTTGGGTTAATCGTATCAATTGTTCCATTAGTTGTTTTGTCGCGTTGATTAGTGATTGTTGCCAACGGTTGTTGAGTGTCTGTCATAGTTCTGTGTGTATGTTTCTATTAAAAGAAATTCTAATGAAAAATAAAAAAGAAACGAGTTTCACAAGTACATGAAGAAATGCCTGTCGATCGGAAGGATATAGTCAGTCAGGCAATGAATATTCATTTTGTCATCGAATGATTCATCAATGTTAATTCCACTAGTAAAACAGAAACTAATATAAAAGACATTTTTATATTCATATTTCATACATTTAATTCTAGTTTGTTTGTGTAACATGATGGGTAAATTTTAATTGACCAATGAGATCGTTGCTAAGCAACCTCGTTGATTTAAACATGGCGGATAAACTATTGAATGGCAAACTTCATTTATAACAGAAAACAATGGCTCATCTTCTTGGAAGTAAAGCGTGTATTGATAGTTTACGTGTTGATATCGACGATCTACAAAGTGTTGTTTATGATATTGTTGGGAAAACGGGATCGATCAAGTAAGATAATACATTTCTTATACAAGTATAATGAATTGGAATATTTGAATAGATGTCATTCATGGAAGTTTCCAGATAAGATTGCCACCGATGTTGATATCAAAGAACTTCTTCAACGATACCAGCACGGTAAAAACGAAGTCGATAATCAAGTTTCACATATTGTTCTTTTTGAACTTATCATTGATCGGTTCGTTTGAAGATTTTGTTCGCCTATGTTTAACCATTCTATATTTATTCTTTAGACTTCTCCTTGTTTTACATGGTTCGTGGCGTTATTTACATGAAATGCAATCAAGTCTCTTACCAAATACTGTCGATTCTTCATCTACAGCCAATCAACAATCCAGTCTTAGTGTTGGTTTGGTTGTGAAGAAATATTGGAATAAACTTCTACATTTATCAACCGTGCTCCAACAGCACGAGGTTCGCATCTGGTATTCTAGATTGATTCGAATAATATTCAATTATTCTCTATTTTAGAACGAACGTAAACGAGTATTAATTAACGGAACTAAAACAGCACCCTTAGCTCGTTCTAAAGCCAATGTAAATACTGAAAAACGTTCTCAAACTGTCGAAACAGCACTTGGACCATGTCAATCATGTTTAAAACTTCAACAATCTCTTCGTGATCATGGCGATAGTCTAATTAACTTGTGTCATACATACAATTTGCCATCTTCACTTGCTCAACATCGATGTTCAACAAGTACCGAGATCTTCTCATCGGATGAAGTTAATCATTGGTCAGATTCTCAAGCGAAAGATATCGATCGTTTATCAAAACATCTTCAATATCTGAACAACACATTGAATAAAACTAAAAGTGATTTACAATTGAACGAAAATCGCTGTAAGAAACAAGACGAAACTAATCATCGTTTGCAGCAACAGATCAATGATGATAAACAATCGAAAAAGATTCTTCAAGAATTACACGATAAAAAGTTCAATGAATTAAAGAGAGAATCAGAACAACAAGAAAAAAGCCTCAACGAGCAAATTCATTTATTAACAAATCAAAAGCTGCAATTGGAACAACAATTAAAAGAAGTCAACGATTTATGTACGTTAAGAAGCGAACAAATGGAAAAATTAGGTAATAGTCAATAAAAAAGTCCTTAATCTGTCTCTCATAAATGTCGAAATATGGAGTTTTTTGAAGAATAAAAGATGTCCTTGAAAAAATATGATGTTTTTATCGAAAAGAACTCAATTGATCATGAATAAATTACTCTTTCCGATAATTAAACTTGGCATTCGTGATCGGAAATTGTCAAGTACTATTAACACGGAGATTTTCTCAATAAAAAAAAATCCAATAATCACATTAAATGATCTAGTTAATGTGTTTCTAATTGAAATGACTTCTTATCCATTTTATGTTTAGAAATATCGAAAAATGAATTGAAAACATTGATTCAAGATCGATTTAAATCGGATGATGTTATTAAAACATTAGAACAAGACCGTGTACGTTTACAAACGGAATTGGACTTAGTCAAACGAGATTTAGAAGAACGAAGTCGAGAATTGCAGAAAGAAAGAACTCGAATTGAAAATATGATTCGACAAGAACAAGTAACTGAACATTTTTCTTCTCTCCATCACTAGTAATTTCTATCTATTCAGAATTATCAATCAAAACAAAAGACATTGACAACATCTTACGATGAACTCACTCAGGAATGTGAATTATTGAAGTAGGTTGAATAGTTTACGAGAAAGAACACTTTATTTATCTTTCTACGATGTTAGAAAACAAGTAAGCGAGCTTGATGTTTCTCGAACTGAACTAGAAAAGAAACTCGATGCTGTTCAAAAACAAAATCGACCTTCTGTCGATACTCATCAAGTTCAATCGTTAATGGAAACAAATAATCATCTACTGGAAGAAATTAGTATGTTAAAGTCAAGTTTAGAACAATTAGATCAACAACTTCAACAAATGGAAGAACGTGAACAAATGTTATTACAGTATCCTGATTTTAATGGTCCTATTGAGCATGAACCACGTAAAATTCTTAACGATTTACCTGCCTTTCACATACGATTTCTGGTATTTCTCTCTTAGCTTCACATAATATTGTTGTTGATATGCAAAATCAAATGCGTACAAATGAAATTCGTATAGATCTATTACGAAAGCAGAATGAATCATTGAAAAATTCTATAGAAAAGCTCTTGTCGATGAATAATACGTTACCAACAATGGTTACGGAAGAACGTTATGAAGAGTTAAGAACTCAATCGAGACAAGAACAAGTACCGAGGAAATCTTCATTTGTAAATGAACCTATTGCATCGGTAGGAAGTTGTAGTCGACTCTTCGTACATTGATCGATTGTTTCTCCTTTTAGAAAGCAAAACCAACGCCCTTGTGGTTGCTAAATAATGAAATTCTCGAACAACAAAAACAGCAGCAGCAGCAAGCTTTCACAGAAACAAGGTCGAGGATTAGCTTAATGAAGAAAGAAAACTTACAAATATGTTCTCTATTTAGACCTGCACCAACCTCACATTACATTCCACGTTTTAGCGAAAATGACTATGTTGCTAATGGATGGATAAAATCCGAACAAGATGTTTTTCCCCTTCCACAAACAAATATTGACCGTGAAAATTCACCGAAACAACATGATCGATCATGGACAACTAATTCTACTCGCATTCAATCAACGTAATGATTCAAACTCTTGTCAACATAGACTTTCTACCATTTACTTTTTCAGAGAGCTAATGATTACATCCGAATCGCGGCCACCAACTGTCGCACATTCTTCGCGAAGTTCGAACAATGGCCGTACATCAACTATTCCTCCACCATCTGATTATGAAATGATCATCGGTATATTGTCATTTGTCTATTGTTTACAAAAAAAAAAAAGAAAGAACGAACATTGTGTGCTTTTCTTTATCTGTAGGTAAAGGTCGTGCGACAAATCGGCCATCATCAGCATCGAAGAATCGATTTGCACCAACTGATAGTGCTCGCCGTGATACTTCATTACCGAAAAGTTCACGAACGGCAGGATCTGCCAAACCACAAAGATCTGCAACAAGTACAACTATGCATCAATGTGCAACTTGTAATAAAACATATGATGACAAACGAAATTATGACATACACAAACTATACTGTAGGACTTAAGTGTCTTTAAAAAAAATGATTGTTTTTTGTCTGTTTTAACAATAAAACTTTGTAAAGGTTTATTAGAGATTGATTTATACATCAGTTGCTCAGCGCTGCTCTGTGAATGTCAACTTTCGATTGAAACTCATCGGAAAGATTAAAGAAAAAGAAAACTATATCTGAAAATCGAACTTCATGATTGACAACCAACTTCTGGATAAATACAAACTAGAAAACTTTTCACTAGCGTCATCTGCAAAAAAACATTCTCCTTATTAATTTATTTTGGATCAGAAAAACTATTACTTCTACACATGTTGTAATTTCGATGTGTCTTGCAAATTTGACAAAACGATCCAGATAACGACCAATGGCTCAGTGAGAACTACTGCGGTGATTGAGTGCGCATATATATGTAAGCATACGGAATCTAAAGTGCACCAGAACTAATTCAACTATTTTTCAGTTTACAATCTACAAAACGAATGTCTCAAACAAGTCATGCACATGGCTCACACGGTAATATTTCTGGCAAAGGTGGCCGTGCTCGAGATGATCCCATCGGAACTGGTTAGTATTACAAAAATCCTCCTGGTCTTACTATCTCATAACTAAATATCTGCTTTGTTCTTCGTTGAGGTGGTAGCACAGCTGACGGTCAGTTGACTCATCAAGATCCTTTACAAGGTCTTGCTAATGCTCAAACAGGTGTCACCACAAAAAGTACCGTTGGCTATTCAACTAATCAAACACCAGGTGCGGTTACCAATCGTGGACAAATCGCACCGGATAATCAGGCTGATTCCGATTCGAATGGCAATTCTAAACAATAAGGTTATTCAGTGCATTTCTGTTCTTTCTTATTTTGTGGGTATTGAAATAAAGTTATTCTAGCTGTGATTGTCACATCTAAATCATTTCAAAGAACTTTTCCTTTCTATAATTGTCCATTATCGAGATAATCAGTGAAGTTTTCGGACACGTATCACGAGTGAGATCTTTTGGCAATTTGCTTTTATTATGATAGATTTAATATGACATCGGAACGATATGTGAGTTTTTTTGTCAAAGATAGGTTAAATAAGGAAATGGACAGTAGAAAAGGACAGAATATGTTTTTAAACATTCAAATTACAAAATTCTGACAAAATTTTGAAAAGAAAAATTTTAATTTTCCTCATCATCGTCCAATGTATGTAAATTTGAATTGTCACTGTCAGTATTCGATTCCTCCTGCTCTTCATAAGGCCGTTTATGTGCAACAAATGATGATGATGACAAAGTGTTCGTTGGTGTTATTGATGAAGATGATGATGAAGCTGCTGCTGTTGTTGTTGTTGAATGAAGACGTATATGTTTATTCAGATTGGATGGATCACTAAACGGTCGAAAACAAACTCGACATTGTAATGGTTTATATCCTGTATGAGTACGCAGATGAATCTTCAAGCCATATTTACGATTATAAACCTGAAATTTCACGAATAACTAAACATCATTTGTTGGAGTATGAAGTATTTACCTTGCCACAGAAAAGACATAGATGTGCTTTACGTTGTCGTCCATCGTTGTCTAAGGAAGTAAACTCTAATGCATGTGTACCATCGAGAACACTCATTTTATAGGATGAAACATCATTTGTTGAGAATGCGATCGGTGGTAATGATTGCTGTGATGGTTGCTGCTGTTGTTGATGGTGATCTTTTTCTTTGACATCCTCGTTTTTTGGATTTGTCGAATTTGAACGAGGAGAAGGCGAAGAAGATCGTTTGATCGATGAAAAGTCCATCAGTCGTTTCTTCGATGGAGATGTATGAACGAAGATTCGTTCATTTAAACTTAAATTTAGCGATGGTATTGGATCATGACATTGATCGAGAAGAACGTGCGCAACAAGAACGTTAAGATAATTTTGTTCGACTTTACATCGAGGACATCGTGTTGCTGGAATGAAATAAAGATCAATCTGAGGAAATTAACTGAATTTGAAATCAAATCTTACATTTAAGTAGTTCTTCAACTTTGAAAACTTTGGTTAATTTGATTTTTTCGCATATTGTGCGAAGTTGCGGAAGACTAAACCAAGCTAGAAGAGGTTCATCTGGAACAACTAAACGTGTTGTACGAAAACCGAAGAGATTTGTTTCAGTTGATTGAAATAATTCCACATTTTGCTCATCTGGTGTACGAGCACTCTTAATAGCTAAAATCCACTCTTGAAACAATCCCGGTCCAATCAGATGTTGACTCCAACCATGAATCTATCAGAATAACTTTAAATTACTATCATACGCAACAAACACTTACCGGTATTTTGTTGTAGTGCAGATTATGGTCATAGAAATCCGTTAGAAGAAAATTATAAGGTAATTGATGAAGAAGATATACTACTGAACCTTCTTTTAATGCAGTACCAGCGACTGCCAAAGGCTTAATTGCTGTAGTTAATGGAAAATTTCCAGTAACATTAGCATATTTTGCGATTGGTTTTATTATTTTAACATCCGACATTTTCTTGTTAACTCCACAGGAGAATATTGATCGAATGAAATGATATGTATGGTATGACCAATTGTATATAGGTATGTGACAAGTATTGACAGGTGAAAGAACAGATTTTTTTTCTTTTCTTTTCTTTTTTTGTATTTGTCGTCTCTATCGCCGTTACTCTCTTCAGTTTATGTACCAATCAGAGACGAGAGAAATCAAATAGAAGAAGGAGTGAAGTTATCATTGGGGAAAAGGTATTTTCATGGTGTCAATCATCAAGTATGCATATAAAGATACTATTGATTCAGTCCAAGATTACTAATAAAACAATGAATAGCAAAAGAATGAATACGTTAAGAGAAACGTACGGAAGTCATGTAACTGTTCTGCTTCTGTCTTTATACACTACTTCACTTGTTACCATAGAGATTCATCTCAATAAACGAGTCAAATTTCATTGAAGTATAGAACGAGAGAGAAATATCTTCAGTCATCATCATCTGTCTCTTTCTCCTCCTTCTTGTTCTTGATCGTTTCTGCTTTGGTTTGATTGTTTCTGTCTAATGACCAAAGACAATTTAATTGGCATTGAACACATTGTCATTTATCGTTTTCACACCTCTCTAACCTCATAATTACCTTGTAAAGGAAGACTAAGACATTCGATTCAATACACTAAAATGATAAGCTGAAAATACGTTTAGCTCTGAGAGAAAACAAAAAGAAAAGACCGCACTAGAACGACAGCCGATGTTTTTCTCATCATCGATTTAGATACTAATTATAGCAGACACGTGTGGCTTGCTGTTCCGATGTACGGATTTCTTCTTCTTCTTCTTCTTCGTTTTTATTCTTAACTTGAGCTGGACATCCAATCCAATGATGAGCATACTCTTGGGTCTTCTTTCTATTGTTCATTCACCTCACTTGAACAAGATTAGACCGCAAACAAACAGCACGTGTGCGTTCTTTCTCTCGACTTAATGTGTTTCGATTAGCGCACTTTTTTTTTTGAAATGTACAAAAAGTGTTTTCGTTACCTCTCTATCATTGAATGTATGATGAGCGACTCACTTCTTTTTGTTACAAGTGGGGATCAACATGGACAATTGTTTTGATCTTGTACTCATCATGCTACTATTTATTGACAGACGACTGATGACATTGACATAACAGATTAAATAAAAAACGAAAGAAATGTTTCCAACTGTTCGATTACCGTTTCAAAAGCATTCGCTCATTGTAACGGTTGTTTATCTCGATGACAAGAAAAATCTGTCTTAGTACAATAGGAACAAAACGAAGTACTTGAATGTTAGAAATGGTTTATTTTATGCTCTATTGATTTCTGAATATCGATGCCTATTAAATTGACTTGTATTCAACGATGAATCATCGAAATGAATCTTTTTTCTCTCTTTCACTCTATTAAATATGACCAATAATGTACTCAGGAGAATATTTTCCTAGAATAAATATTGAATCAACAGTTTCAATACGGAGCGGTCAAACTTCAGTACGTAAATCAAAGAATTGCACATCTGACAACATCGATTCACTTTTGCATGTTTTTCTAAATATATTTCTTTGTTTCATAAACATCGTCATGTAGTTATTATACAGAAGGAAATGGTTGGAAAAGAATCATTAGCAAAAATTCGAAAAAAAAAACGAAGAATATAAATATCTGCAAATCAGTAAAAACAACAACTTTTTCTTCCTTATGAATAACATGAATGAAATTGACATGCTTCGCACAGCGCAGAATAATGCTGTGAATGCATACTTCCTTTTCGTTGGATTAAACGTTGTACTGGCTGAGTACCATTATGAGTTATATCCCAATAGTTGGACGAAACAGAATTCGGAAAGAAACATTCACATATTGTCTTCGCTAGTTTTTTCATCACTCGACATATTTCATCTAAATCAAATCATTACTTTTCTTCTAATGGGAGAACGCTTTTCTTACCGAAATACCACAGTGGACGAACAGTTGAATAACAATATTGACATTGTTGCGCATAAAGTCTCAATAAAACGATACCGCCTTCGTTAGGTTTCGAGATATAGAATGTACAACGTGCGCGCATTGATGTCCAACAATGTCCACACGTATCACATTTAAATTGTGCTTTGGCGTTCTCTGATTGCGTCAATGAATAGAAAGCATTTAATACACGTGGACATATGAACCGTGCTTCATATGGTATAAGACGATAGTCGACATTGTATGTCATAGCGGTTGCCATGACCAATCGACCAAACTCGCCATGCCAAGCCCAGACGGTATTATCACAGAAATATTTCTTGTCGTCATCTTGAATAACTGCTGCTCTATGAGCTGAAACAAAATTATAACAAAAAAAAGATCAAATTCTTGTTTTTCATTTAGATCTTTTCAAACGATACCATCATCAGTGATTGTTATTGTCGATGAATCAATGGGATCGATAGCATCGAAATCAAATTCATTCGAAAAGCCACTTTCATCCTCATCACAACTTATACCAGAATCATTTGGTGTGAAATGAGGCTTCGAGTTGTTATTGTCTACAACGACATCATTGTAATCGTTCGAAAATTGGGCATAAGGTCGACTTTGTTGCATTGTAAATGTATGACGACGAGAAAAAGATGGAAATGATCCATATTCGTATAGATTCTTTATTCATGTCTCGTAAAACGATCTATCTGTCTATCGAAACGGTTAACTTATTTTTGAATTCTATCGCTCGTATGACAAAGAGTTCAGTAGGTATTTTAAATTAAAGGAAATAATAAGTTCACGTGCTTTTCGTTATAGAACTATTTTTTTCATTTTCACTGTAAAATCAACGGCTTGTTTATTCACACATATATATATTTCAAAATATCCTAATCTGTAATCTTTGACTAACAACAGAATTGTGTTGTTCGAATAACTAATGATATTGAATGATAAAAGATGTTACTCGAGGGAAATCAGTATTTCGACAAAGTTCAAATGTAGTTACAATTCATTCACGATATTATCTGTCCTTCTACAATTGATCAATATTTGATAAGTACTTTTAGTTTATAAGTTAGACAACATTGTACTCATAAAGAAAAAAAAAGATATCAAGCAAACATCTTCCCGAATGATTGTACATAACAAAAACAAATAGATTTCATACAATCAATGTGTCGACTCATCCGAGAGAAAATAGAATCAATATAAAGATTTATAAAAATGGATTCTTTAATTGCTAAGGTGCCGAAAAACAAACCGGGAAGCTAAATAGGTAATAGTTAAGTCTTGTGTTCGTTAAACAACAGATAGTATTTATGCAATCGTTCATTATTCTTCTAGGTTTATTCATTTGATCTTGTGCAACTTTTTAACTTTAGTTTGGATGATTGGACTTGCCATAAACATCGTCGCCGGCATTGTTGCAAGTGCCGTGTTTTTTAAAGGACAAGAAATAGAAAAGGGAAGATTACTGCTCTTGCTTCTTATTGCTACCATACTGAAACTGTCATGCAATCCTCTGTTTCATCGAGTGACGACCAAAAAATAGCGTGAATTTTTTACTATGATGCGAGTAGCTACATCAATGTCAGTTTGTCGATGATTTGGTTTGCTCTCTCTGGGCCAATTTTTACACTCTTGGTCGCTAAAAGAAAAAAACAGATGCTACCTTTGAATCGTTTCAAATCAGTTGTATACAATGCGTCACTTGAGTGCATGTCATTTTCTATTTCCAATCCAAGGATATCAATACAATTACGTTGATTAAAAAATGAATGATGCGCACTAGTAGAGGAGCTTGCTAGTATTTAATAAAATTAAAAAATGAACAAATCAGTTCATTTCATTCTCAGTTCTTTTGATCACATAGGAAAGAAAATTAAATCAATAAAAAAGAATCATGAAAATCTACTTTTTGGTAAATGTAAGTCCTTCTTTTTCTAAGAAATCCATTATAGTTGTGCGTCCGAATGCTGCACCTGGTGTCAACACTCCACCTCTGCAAAAGGAAGACAATCAATGGTCAAGCATATAATGAGCACATTCTCTTACTTCGCTGGTAAACGTTCGCTCTCTTTAATCAACATGACTGCACAGGAAATTAACATCTTCGATGTACCTAGATAGCCTGGATCAGGTCCAACGAATTCATGAATCAGTTTCTGATTATTTTCTGTATGGGTCAGGAATGTCATTTTAAATTTTGCATGTTCACACTAAAGAAAACAAGGGTGTTCAGTAATTTTATATTTCATTACGATTTACATCTTGTCGTGTTGGTCCTTCTTTGGTTACCAGTCCACTGGAAAACAAACTGGGAAACTAAATAACGGAAAGTTAAGAAAAAATTTCAGAATTTGAATCTATTGAATACTTTGAGTAATAATTGGATTCCGAATTTAAATTTTGCCAAAACCGAAAATATTAAGCCGAAAAAGACCAGTTTAACAACTGGAAACAGCGATGGCAATTGTAAATACGGTTGAAAGCGAACCTAAAATCAAACATTTCCAATACCATTTTTAATAAAGAAATGTTTTCTCAACTGGTTTTTGGTTTAGTTTTGTGTAAGTGAAATACTGTGTTCGTTGAACAACAGATCTGTCACTACCGGGAAATGGTACTGCCCAAATTGATTGGCCTTGGATCATTGTTTGAAAGACTATATTTCTAAATCGAATCCGACAAGTGAACTCTATTTCAATTCGCATACAGATCCGATACCTATGTATTTTAGCTTTTGAATAGGGTAACTTTTGTGGAAACAGCTGTCGTCGAAGACGTTTCAGTTCATTAGCGTGAGAAAATCCATAGACAGCTGATTCCCATGTTGCATAATGAATCAAGCCACCCTTGAAGAAAAAGATGAACATCGGTCGTTTGATCTTTGTCAAGAAGTACTGCACATACTGTTATTGTTCCGTATTTTAAAGTAAGGAAACTCTCGATCAACGCGATGTCTAAGCAAAATCTAGGAAGTAATATTTATAATCTATTTTTGCATTGGTGTGTACCAAGATTGTTTCGTTCACATTCTTGTCGAATAGTTTCAACGCCGAGATCGGCAACAAGTGAATCAAAACCACAACTACCAACTACGATGACCTCGCGTTCGGCAGCTTGGCTATCATATCGAAGTTGCATTGTTTCTAGAAACTGTAACATCGGAAATTATCAAACATCAAGTATCAATGACTTCCGTTCATTACTTGTGGTTCACCAGAAATATCAACATAATGTGTACGTGCTTCAAGACAAGCTTGAACTACTGGTTCACCATAATGTCGGTACTAAAAAACCATTTAGAAGCGTTTGTCTTTCTCGTCTATTAGTGCATACGGGTCCAACACAATTGATTAGAACTTTTGTTCGTGCACACATATTGACTAATGACTGTTGATTAGTGATATTCGCTGTAACTGTATCGACAACTGAAGTCAGACTGTCAATACCTAGAGAACAATACCAATTAGATAGACTATCGATTAACTCAAAATCCTTTGAACACCTGTCACATCGGATGCTTGCTGAAGGACTTGTTTTAGTTTCTCTACTGTTCGTCCGGCAATACCCCATTTCAAACCAAACTGTCTTCCTTTTCTTGCCATTTCTTCGATGACATACTGGCCGGTATAACCAGTCGCACCGAAAATGAGCACATCAAGTCGATTTGACATAATTTTCGAAATCTAGAGTAAACGATCGCTTTCAACAAGTGATTTAAAATTGCAAACGGGTAGAATAAGTTTATTTAGAAAATTGTTGATCAGAACTACGTTGTAGACTTTGTCATTCTTTTAAAAAGCATGGTTATCATAAAAAAAGAAGTTCTTTTCTTGAAATATTTGGCTTTAAGCTTCATCCATTCATTTGAAATCAAGTAATTCAACGTCGAAAATCAATGTTGAATTGCCTGGAATTAATCCATCACCGACACCATCAGAACCTAGTCAAATGAATTTCTTTTTTAAAATCTATTTCTCTAAATTATCATTTCTTACCATAAGCATAATCTGGTGGACATGTCAGCGTAGCACGTTCACCTTTTGACATTTGAGCAACGCCTTGATCCCATCCCTATTCGAATCCGAAGCAGCTCTCATTTGGGTTCCTCTTCTCCTCACTTACTTTGATAACTTCACTAAAAGAAGACAAGATAGAAATAAATGTCATTTTTTCTATCAACATGATTCTATTTCTAGGTACTCACCCTCGTCCAAGTGTAAACTCGAATGGTCGATTACGATCACGTGATGAATCGAATTTCTTTCCATTTGTTAATGTACCTACAGGTTAACTTTCGAAAATCGATCCTTCACCTTCTTTCATTCTCTCACCTGTATAGTGAACAGTTACGCGTTGTCCAGCCTTTGGTCTTTGACCTAATGTATTACAATCGTAAACTTTCATAAAGCACACGCAAACAAAAGTAAGCTAACCGTTTCCTTCTTTAATTGTTTCAACTTTGAATCCTGATGACATCTTTCTTGATTAAATGAACTATTCTACAAAAGAAACAGAAAATTCGTCTATATCTTTTATTTTTATATATGTATGTACATAGCACAAAAAGAAAGAAAAAAATAATAATAATAATAACAGCCAAGTATAGACGCTAAAAAAAGAGCCAGTAACAATAAACAGTCATGTCTGTTGTTGAGTTGAGCAATGTCAAATCTATATACACGCGTGCAACAAAAAAAGAAGGAGAGAAAACACGTAGCAAGATAACAAGAAGACAAATTTTCAGCTAGAGTAAAGAACCGGTTTTTTTGCGAGATGGTGTAGAACCCAGATTAGAAATATTGACAGAGAGCTAAAAAAAAGGAGAGAAGAGGACGACAAGTCGAATCCACACTTTCGTTTTGTTTATGAAACACTCGTTATCGATTGGGTTGGACCACGCATTGTGGAAAGAACAGTATCAAGCCATTTTAATGGACCTTCTAAATGAATTTCGACCCAACATGGTGTGCAAGTTACCGCTTGACGTCTGAAAATATGAATCAATTTTTATTAATTTTACTTTCGGAATAAAGATATATTTTAGCTTACCGATATTCAACACCCCATCCTTTTACAAAACTCATTCGAATGATACACATTCTCATGAGATTATAGACAGCTTCATAGCCTTCATGAACAGCTGTACTGAGTATCTGTGTAAAATCATCACTATCGAAGATTTTCAATCGTACTTCTATTAAAAACAAACTCCTGTTACACACATTTCTCATCCATTGAAAAAAGAGATCTTACTCGGTGGAATTTTGCAAACAGTGGCTGGATGCCACGATAATCTTTGATTAGTTATTGGACTTTGAACAAAAACAGGATTATCAGATATACATTCTGCAAAAACATTGCCACGTATATGAAACAATTTTACGCCACGGCCAATGTGTCGACGTGCCTTATCAATTTCAAATGTTCGATGAACATTCGTCAATCCACCCAAACAGAATCGTTCTGCATTGGATGGATCGGTAAACCCATCGATAATCACTTGTGGTTGAGTAGCATGAAATTGTTCTCCAACACGTGTGGACATTTCATAGTAGGAGATAAGGCACCATTCATGTGGTTCTTCGAAAGATACTTGTTCACCATTACCGACAACATATTGAGATGGAATTGTCGACACAGATTGTTGCTGCTCCTGTGGTTGAGAGGAATAATGAGGATTTGTTTCTACAGATACAGGCGCGGCAACTTCGAAATCCATTGCATTATCGTGCGAGTTTTGATTACTATCACCGTTTGTATTGGCACCAGGAGGTGAAAGAAGAGAATCTACACGAAATGGGAAAAAAGGAGATACATAGTTATTGTTGATGATCAAGAGCTCATTGAATTTGTTTGTTGAAAGTTACCTTGTGAACTGATACTGCCAGGCGATAGTTGATACGAAGGTGGTGATTGCTGTTGTTCAACCATGGCTTGGTATGTGGTGTTTTCCGGTATCTGATTTGGCATCATGTCGCTGTTCATGGATGCTGAACGCAAGTCTGGCATATCACGGAACGCTTCCGGAGGCAAATGTGGAACATATACAGAGTATTTCGCTGAAAGGTCAAAGATAAGTCGATTTTTTCTGGAATTATACTCATTAGCAGAAATTACCTGGAACGCGTTCATAATGGAATGGATTGATGCAAATATCATCTCGAGAGTAATGAAATGGATGAGAACAGTAATCAACTGGTTTTAGTTCATTTTGATTGGATAGATCAGGCCAACGCCATAGACGACTATAGAGTACGACAGGATTTGATTTCGATGATTGATTTGTTAAAGTATCAGTAGATCTAAAAACGAACATAATTCATTCATTATCTTCCAAAACAAGCAATTTACCTTGGTATGGTAACACATTTTGTTCTTGAATCTTTGTGTGAAATTGCTTTTTCTAATTCTTCAATTGCACCATTCTTTTTTAATTTGGTTAGTTTTTTAATTAAATTTCGTATTGCTTTTTCTGTATGATCATTAACATTTGATCCTGGCGGTGTTTTATCATTTCGATTAACACATAACTTGAGAAATTGTCGTACGACAGGTGATACCGATCGTTTCTTCGTTATCGAATGTAGAAGCGACGTGAGAGGATTTGATGGTGATGAATTATTATTCATTGTCGTTGTTGGAGAAGCAATTGACATAGTCCTAGCTATCTAGAAGAAATAGATCGTTTGACGTTTACTTTCGTTTATATACATATTAATGTCTATTTTCTTTTTTTTTCGTTAAAAGAAAGGTCGCGGACAAATATACAAAAAACAAAACAAAATATGAGAGAAAAGAATGAGCAGAAAAATAATAAATCTGATTCAAGATATCACCTTGATGTTGGATACCAGTGTTTCATCCCTTCAAAGTCGTAGAGATGATCATAAGCTGCCAAAAATTCGCTTGTACGTTGAAATTTGCTCGATTTCGTTTTGCGTTTCCCATCGGACGGGTTGATATGTAATTCTTTTTCCATAGTCAACGTTAAAAATTGTTGCCATTGCTGCTGAACTGATTGCATTTCATTGAAAAGTATTGAATCAAGTACTGAATCGTCATCTAGTAGCTCCCTGAAAAAAAAAGACCAGAACGTCTTGCACCACAAATGAACGACAAAACATACGTGCTGGAAGTGATTGTTGGTGCAATTTTCTTCTTCTTCTTCTTTTTAATTGTCTCATCTTTTGGACAGAGTAGTAGACCCTGAGATGGAACTGCAGATTCATCGTCGTCAGCCGAAGGTATTTGTTGTTTCTGATGTTCGAATGATAGTTTTTTCACTAATGGGACATCTAATGACAATAAGAAAAAAAAGAGATTAGCTATCAATGGTTAATAGTACAAACTTTTAATGAGTATTGTGATGGGCTGCTTTTGTGAGTGGTTCGTACGACTAGATCGTAGTTTGGATTTTGATGGTTCAGTTGCACCTGATTCCATATCTGCACGAGTTGACGCTTCCTTTGAGAGATGCTTTTCCGTTGTTGAACTTTCCATCTGATTTGCTAAAAAGCCATAAATTCTTATTTTGTCTGACATAGAAAGAAAAGATCCTGCATACCTGCTGCTGATTCTGTCGTTGCATTATATGACGACGATTGTCGAAGTTTCTTACTGCATAGTCCGTTTTGTTCGAACTTTCGTTTTTGATTGTTTTCTTGACTAAATAAACAAGTCGATTCTTTGTATGGTTTTTTCCGTAAAATAAATAATGTTCTTCAAATTACTTCGGTGATATATCGACATTGGCTGATTTTATCTGAGATTGTCTTTTATCTGATGAACATAGAACTTTATCAACAACGGCTAGTTTTTCTGGTCGTAAACAAGACTTCTGCAGATCATGTGATGATTCTGACTGACCAACACCCGATGCGTCTATCGAAGAATGTTCCAATAGCTAAAATAAACAAAAGTCTGTTGGTAAATATCATTCGTAAAAACGACTGAGCTACGATTTCATGGTTACCTGTAGATGTTCACTATCATCCGCTGTTTTCAACATATTTTGTGAGTCTTGATCGAGTTCAATTTGCCTTTTATCGTACAGTCCAACGCCAGGTTGATAAACAAATGATAATTGTTTTTTATCATTATTCACAGTTGAAAGCGGCATTGACCAATTAGTTTGTGTTGGCTGTAGAACATCAGCCGATGAGATTGAAGGTGAATCACACAACATTAAATATTCATATCTAGAAAAAAGAACGAAATAACTATCAATAGTTTCCCCTTCTCTTCTTTTTTTCTTTTAATTAGCAAACAAGTAATGATGTTACAAATCCGTTTGTAATTTCTTGTCGATCAACGTAACAAAAGAAAACAAAAACAAAATAGGTGATGAAAACGATATTTGTTGTTGTCATCTTGTCGTTGATTAATAACTGATAACTTGATTTTTCTTCTTCTTTTCGGCACCCAATTCGAAATGTTTGGTACGTTTGATGGCTAATTGTTTTTTGAATTTGCACTCCGTACATTCCATTCGCAAAACAATTTTCTTGGTTGTTTTAGCTTTTTTATGAAACACGGGTTTCTTTTGACCACCGTAACCTTTTTGTTTCATATCGTAACGTCGTTTGCCTTGAGCATGAACGCTGTCTTTGCCTTTTTTGTATTGGGACACTTTGTGTAAGGTGTGTTTTTTGCAGTTTTTACCCTTGCAAAAGGTACGACGTGTTTTTGGTACATTAACCATGTTGTACTTGTTCTTTCGATGGAGAAGAAAGACAAAATCTAGAAAGAAATATTATTTGAATAATGTTAGTGTTTGAATGATTGGCTTTTCATGTGTATGTATGTACAAAAATGTGAATATGATAAATAAATGAACGAAATAAACAAGTACAACACTAAAACCGCACGACAAATACAAAGATTAAATGTGAAAATATCTGACAAAAGAATGAACTTTCATTTTGTTCAACACAATCTTCTTTCTTTCATTTATTTACTGGACATGCTACCAGGTGCTGGTAATTGCTGAAGAACATTGTCAAGCCATTGCATTGGACCATTCAGATGAATTTCTACCCAACATGGTGTACTCATGATTGTACGGCGCCTGCGAAAGACAAGATCATAATACTACAATTAAATATCATGGGAAACGAAAGATTTTACCGATATTCTTCACCCCATCCTTTAACAAAACTCATTCGAATAGCACAGATTCGTGTAAGATTGTAAACAGCTTCGTAACCGTATTGAATAGTTTCACTTAATGTTTGAGCAAATTCTGTGTTACTGAAGATCTTTAAATTACAGCCTAAACGGAACAGAACGATTTGTCAAATGTTACATGTGCCATGTTTTTCGTGAAACAATGAAGAACTTACGTGGTGGAATTTTGCACACAGTTGCAGGATGCCATTGAAAACGTTGATTACAACTTGGACTTTGTACAAATATTGGTGTATCTGACAGGCATTCTGCAAAGACTTCACCGCCGATGTAATAAAGTCGAACACCATTACCAATCATTCGTCGGCATGCTTCACTTTCGGCAGTACGGTTGATGTTTGTAAGTGATCCAAGGCAAAACCGATCCGATGCATTCGGGTCGCAAAAACCATCAATAACAAGTGAGTTGAGCGAAGCATGAAACGTTTCACCCACACGTTGGTTTAATTCGTAATAAAGTATCGAGCACCAAAACAGTGTTTCAGCATAGGCGATTGGTGCGGTTTGAACGCCTGAAAACTCAAATGATGCACTAATTGAGAAAAAGCTTCTGGATTTACCGTTTAAATTCGTTGGAGCAGCAATCTGGTGCTGATTCATTGTTGCTTGTGTCGGTGTCATTGCTTCGTAATTGTCTTGTACACTTGCCGGACTATTCACAGCAGTACGTTGTTGATCTGCTGGTGATGTTGCAACTATCACAAAACAAAATCAAAACTTATACAGTTCGTTTCATGTCACATACAATCCATTGGAACTGTCGAATCGGGTTGAATTTGCATTCGTTCGCTAGCTGTCGAATCAAACACAGCACGATCCGAAACAGGAACGTAAACTGGTGGAATAACTAGAAAAGAAGGTCGAGATTGATTTTAATCATTCAAAACGTTCGGCTAGCAGGCTTACATGGTGCAACAACTCGTTCTGAATGGTAGGGATTGACACATATCTGATCTTTTTCATGTTGAAATGCATATACACATGTATCTATTGGACGTAATTCCATGTGAGTATTTAAATCTGGCCAACGCCATATACGGCAGAAAGCGACAACAGGTGTCACATCATTGAATGCCTTTCGAACTGTTGAAGATGGATTTGGTTCGACCAATTTCTTTTGTGCATCTCTAGATATACGAATCTGTTAGTTAAAAGTACGGACGAAAATGTCTTTTTACCTTGGAATAGTTACACAGCGCGTTTGCGGATTTTGATTATCCAATGCTGCTTGCAAATCATCGACCATGGATGCTTTGGTTAACCGTTTAATTAACCCTTTGATGGCTTTTTCTGACCATTTGTCATCACTTGAATTCGGTTGAATATTTTTCCGATATTGTAACAAATTTTTCAATGTTTGAGGATTGACTGAGAACGAAAAGGGCATATTGAATAGGTTGCTCATTATTAAATCTAACAAATCGAATGAAATATTATTCAAAACTAACAAACAACAGACGATTAGAAGAATAGAGAGGCGGTGGTCGGCATATTGAAATTGTTTGTGATGTTGACCTCTACTGATTCGTGTATACACTAGGTCAATATGCATATCGTATCGTGTCAAGAGGTAAAAAGTAGATTTTGTAAAAAAAAGATCGATTGAATTTGAAAAGATTTCTCACGAGTAAATTTACATTATTCTAATATTTATCTCTTTGATAGATGGCAGTGTAACTGAACATCAAAATGAAGAGCTGAATGCTCGATTAGGATTGGCGGGACATATCACCCAATAGAATTATTGATTACATTGAATGAAGTTTTGAGAGAATATTCACAGTCACAGGGAACATATTGTATTGATTAACACTAGAAATATTATCTATTTCATTTCTCTACAGCTGTAGTCTATATTGAATGCTGATCTATATTAGTTTAGGTAGCGTTTTAGCTGATGCTTTAGTCTGTCAACATAGTATATTTGTCAAATTGAGTACGTTTTTTTCTTTTTATCAACCGATTTTGAAGGTCTGCCCGCAAGCGTAATAGTCTCATCAACAATTTCAACATATAACTGCACTCAAATAAGAATCCTTTCTTCCTTCGAGATTATGAAGTTCTCAAATTATTGGCGATGAATAAACAGTAGGAAAGAGTATACATCTTTGAATTATCATATCTTTGTGATAACAGAGTACTTGTCGATAACCACAAACTTGATCTTATCAACCAGAAATCTTTACTCCGGTGGAATCGCATCTCCATCTTGTACTAAACCATCGAACAGAAAAATTGACTCTTGTTGTGGAACAGTTACGGAAGATTAAGGTAGAGATATTGACATAAAAAAGTGTTTTATCAGCAAGCTGGTGTGATTCAGTCATGTGAAAAGAGCAAGATGAAAATATTATGTTTTATTTCTTTCTTCTACTGTCATACGATCGAAAAAGGAAACATATGTTTTATTCTAGATGTTGATTTGGGGTATAAAATATGTTCAAACTTGAATCATATATAACACCATGGCTCCTATCGTATATTGATCGGTACGTAAAACTACGTCGAGAAGATTTTCAATTATCTCTATGGGGTGGTGATGTTGTTTTTTACAATCTCGAATTACGTCTAGCAAATATTCAAAAACTAGTTCCAACCCTTCCAATTGTCTTTCAAAGTGGAATTATTCATGAGTTACGTATTCATGTATGTACAAGAAGTTGACTATGTTGTGAAAGAGACAAACGAAGATTTTTCTTCTGTCATAGATTCCATGGATTCGAATAAATTCCGAACCCATCGTTGTTACTATCAATCAAATTGAACTTGTCATTGTTTTAAATAAAGAATGCACATTAGCTAATGATTTTCCATCATCCACTTCGAATGAAATCAATTCCGATCAAGTACTTATCCAACAGCAGCAACCAGCAACACCGGAGCAATCTAATTACGTTCAAACTGTTCTTGCGCGTATTCTCAACAACGTTCAGATTGTTGTCAATAATCTAGTAGTGAAATTTATCGAGCATGATATTGTCATATCATTGTCATCACGAACAGCGCAATGTTATGCTGCCAATCAAAATTGGGCGAAGGCATTCATTGAATTAACACAACAAGATTTATCATTACGACGTTTGATTTCTTTACCAGATATAACATTATGTTTAGATAAACGCGATTTGAATGGTAAAGTTCATCGATATGAAGTTCCTCTATTATCACGCTGTTCATGTGAATGCCGTATCCAAATGTCGTATGCGAATGTTTATCAACAATTGAATACGAAACCAATTCAAACGCGGTTAAGTTTTTACTGTGCAAATATTGAAATTTCGATTGTCGATAATCAATTATCGATGCTAATGCGTTTGATAGAAAATATCATGCTGCTGATTGATCAACAAATTCATTCGAACGGCGATGAATCATTGAAAGAATTCAAGAGAGTACCGTCGAAAGAACTCTCACCGCCGCCGTCACCTGTGGCACTTCCACCTCCATTGCCCTCCTTACCTCCGTTAATACCAGTTGAAGAGAAAACAGTAGAATTAAATCCTGCAGAACCCGGCTGGATTTCATGGGCATGGTCTTATGTACCATCAGTAACAACACTTTTCACAGAGGAGGAGGATGATCCATCTGTCGATGGGCATAATTCAGAGACTTTGCCTAATGAACAGCAGCTAAATATGAAAGAAAATAAACTAGCTGGTGTAGAAGAACAGAACCCACTATTGATGAATAATAGTAATAATAACAATACACCAACACCAATTCTCTTCGCTGGAATTGATATCGATCGAATTAGTTTACAATACAAAGTAAGGAAGATTTCGCTTTTTTAAATTCATTTGAAATTATATCTTTTCAGGTGACGAAATCCCTTGGCAATAAGTCTTCTCATGTGCCATTCATTGCGTTCATTGTCGAAAAAGCCAGTATGTAAACTCATTATCACGCCCATTGTTCATCCGCCAATATTGTGCGCTTATTTTTAGATATTATTGTCGAACGCTATAAACCTACAAGTACAACTGCGCTCGATGGTCAATCGGTAGTGTCGAGTGTTCGCAAAGTCAAAGTATCAACATCGAAAATGTCTCTGAGTTGGGATGAATGCTTACGTTTATCGTTATCGGACGTTCATTTTACATTACACTATGATCGTCATGTACGTATGACACGATTTTCTTTGATTATCAATGATTTACATGCACGTTTGAATCACCATTTACTTATCTATCCATGTCAAGCAACGTTAAAACTCGACCATCATCAAACATATTCATTACTTCATTTAGAATTTTCCTCGTTGACTGGTAAACTCGATTTCAATATTCTAGCATATTTAATCACAGTTATCAATCAAATCCGAACAATCGTCGACGTGTCCATAGCTTTATTTCGACCTTCGCAGATCAACGAGCATGTCGCAGATGACATTATATCTGTTGATGATTTAAGAAATGGTTCAATGAAATGTCTATTTCAATCCTCCAATGATTTGCCTAATACAAATGAAATATCATTTACAACAACTAATCATCATACATTAACATCATGCATGACATGGAAATATCCCGAACGAAGATCGATTCTTAAATGTCATATACTTCCATTACCATTTCACGATGATCTAACCGGCGTTGTCATTCCACATCGAATTAAAACAGTAGGATTCGTTTTATTTTCGATAAATTTTCATTGTAAATATGGATCATTGCTAGGTTGATTGTCTAATGCAATATTGGCATTTTGGTACCAAACAATTTGTTACATGGCAAACATTTGAATTGACCGATGGTCAACCTTTATTTCTAGATTTTAGTAATGATCTCGGACAAAATCCTTATTCGGAAATGTGGCGTGTTGTTTTGGTGAATGCTTCGTCGATTATAAATCAAGCTAATTCATTGGCTGCTTCAACACGCATTGATTCCCTACAGAGTCAACGGTATGAACCATCTCTTGAAATGACTATTAAAATAGCCACAATTCGTGTCAATTTCATGATCGATCCTCCGGTAATACATTTTCTGCTTTTGAAAAACGAAAGAAAAACTTGGTTGTGTTTGTTTTCTAGAAAGTAAAACCTTCATCAAAATTTCAATCGATTCTTGGGCAATGTCAACACGATATTTTAACATTGCATTTAGACAATATCTCCTTTGACTATAGTCAACGTCTCGAAACGAAAACAATTAGTATTGAAACGATTCTTTCACTCGAAGCATTAGAGTATCGCTTCCTAACAAAACGTTCTTGTATCGAACCAGCTCTGATCAATTTAAATCTATTTATTGACGTATCGAAATCAAGTATATTAACAACATTTCCCCAAGTATTCGATTTGAATAACGGAAAGTATAGTCAACTGTTTCGTTCAGCTAAAACCTCATTTGTTTGCCAATTGCATTTTGACATCGACCATATTAATATCCGATTAAGTCAATCGTTGTGTCATTTAATCAATATTCTATATCAGCAATGGATTCGATCAGATATGATCAAAGTTTTAGATTTCGATCAGCAAACACAAGAAGGTAAAACGTCTAAACCATCCTATGGTGACCATTGAATTTTTCATTGTAGCTTTAGCGTTGACAAAAACCGATCAGTCATTCTATTACACGTACTATCTGTTTACTAATCATTTGAATTGTTCAATTGGTTTGAAACAATATGATACCAATGATAAATTCCTCGCTCTTCAATCTTCGCAAACGACAGATTTCATCTGGTCTAAAATTCATACGAACGAAATGTTAATTCAATTCTCGCTCGAACAGTTCTCATCCGATCCATATCATTCATCACCAATCAATATTCATCATTCCGATAACAATCTGAAATCTATTGTTCAATTCGAAAATAGTCCACATGTATTCTATTTACAAAGCCAATACGATCAGCATCAAATTCGTCGTCATCTTCATATCTTTGGCAAACTAATCTTTAAGAATCTTTGTAACATTGACATAGACTTAAAACTCTACTTGAATGTCGGTTCGCGACAAGTCGATATCTCGATTCTAGCCTACGAAACCTATGCAAGTTGCTTACAAACCAGAGAAGATATCGAATACATCCAATGGAATTCTTCACATAAATATATCATTGATCAATTGAATCAAGATGGAATCATTTCCACTAGTGATCAATCTTCGATATGGATACATCTATTTGATCATGATAATTTTACTTGTATCGTGTTTACACCGATTGTTATCTATCGATCGTTTTTGACACAATCAGTTTTGTTACATTTGAATCAAGAGAAACAATTCGTACTAGAATCGAATGGCTTGTATACATATTATTACGATGTCATTTTGGATAATATCAATCAAGTATACGAACACCGATTGCAACAGATCGACGCAGAGCAATTGACTGAATGTATATTTCAGTTAAATAATCAATCTTATTTGTCATTGGATAGGATCGAACAGACTCATTCCGATGATCTCTCATTACTTGATTATCTATTAGAACTTCAAGCATTGAACTCGAAATCGTATTCGATTATTGATCTTCTTCGACAAGAACATTTAAAAGTTAAATCAGCGGAAGACGGAGTTCTCGTACCATTGATTGAACAAACGAATGACATTCTGAATCCAACTATCAGCGCTAACGGACCAGTTGTAATCGAGCCTCAAATCAACTATCACCCAAAGAAGACTGCACCTTGTAAGTATATTGCGAACTTCAATTAAAGATTGATGTTTTTCTTTCTCAGTAATTAATCCAACATTAATGACTACGAATTCCATCGATTGCCGTCTGGAATCCCTTCGTCTTTATTCCCATTTAAACACTATTTTAATCCAATTTAAACCTTCAACATTGATAAACAATCTCACTCCATTTAATTTCCATTTATATGCAAACGCTGGCCATAATCATGTATATATTCATTCGTCGGAATTGACATGTCTTTCAAAATTCGAATATAGTCAAATTCAATTCGTTCTCATCGATCCGCACGATGGCGAACATATCCAATGTCAAACGATTGATCTTTTCGTACGAAATATTCCGATGATTAATCCGTCGACGTTGATCAACAATCGTTTGTACACAAATGGTTCGATCGATTTATATTTTATTAAATCTTCGAATAATGATTATTTTACTTGCCATGTTCGACATGAATATCTCGATCAAACACATATTTTAACCATCGAATCGAAATATCAAGTTTGCAATCGAACAAATCATCTATTATCTTGTTTGATTTTACCGATTTCCAAGCAGCAACTTGCAATTGATTATCCGTACAATTCATTTCAAATTAAACCCAACGAAGACCTCCCGTTGTATCGTTTCCAAGGTGTACCATCGACAGATATTCACTATTATGTTTTATTTCAATCGG